CGTAACTCGATACTCGTTACCAAATTTTCTCGCAAATAATTTCAGTACGTTCCCTCACTTTTATAGGAGGACCAGAACTTTGGGCGTGGGGACGAATAGAATGACCCGTGTTTATTGTACTAACTCAATTCAATTGTTCAAGTGATGGTTTGATTGTCAACATTCAACACCATCACTTGTTAACACAACAGCAGAAGTGTTGAAAGAAAATGGCTATTTTTGTAATGATTTTATGTTTATGTTATAATTTCTTTAATCACTTGTATTTGCTCTACTCTGTACTGAGCACTCATTTAAGAAGAGTATTATTGGTTATTGGAATTTATTCGTAAAACCAATCCTATACTTATATATATATATATATATATATATATATATATATATATATATATATATATATATATATATATATATATATATATTGTTATAGGACCTTACCGATAATAACATAATGGACTATTCCATACGTAATAAATACTGCGTCTCAAGAGGAAGCAGGGAGTTCAGCCTGAATCGAGCGACCGACTAACCGGCTTATCAGTTGAAGTCTCCGCCTTCGGGCGGGGAGGAACCGAACGAGGCTACACCGAAGTGCGGAGTCTCTTTCGGGAGGTAAACCGACCCTCGAAGGGCATATTTTTGACCGAGCCCACGGGCTCAGAGATCCCAAGTTAAGACTTGTACCACATGATACCCTCGTGGGGGTGGAAGTGACTAAATACTGAAGTCTGGAGTGAGGTCCGTCAGTCGAGTCAGGCAGTCCGAAACAGAATCGCGTTCAGACAATTACTGCAAGACATTGGATTAGTGATACTGGTCAAGACTACATTGTTCTCTCTACTAAACCTGATTGTTCGTACTAACACTTCTACTTCTCTGTATATATTCCTGTTTGTAATATATCTGTGTTATTTCATAACTGTTTTCGAGTTCTTCTTTATTGGTTCTACCTTGGACTATCACCGTGGTACAAGGAACCGGACCATAACATATATATAATTATTTATTCGAAAATTATAACATAAATATGTTATAAAATCACTACAAAATAGCCATTTCGTTTCAACACTTTTGGCGTCTTATCAAGTGACGGTGAGTAATCAACAGGCACTGTTTCACTGTAACACAGTTCATCAATGTGGCTAGACATCCGATTGTTTCAATCCGGGATCGAAACCCGACCTATTTGGCATCAGTCAGAGATTCTACCCGCAAGCTATCATCACAGGGCAGAAAGGAAGGGAAATTTTAAAGTTTTTACTATACGAAAGACGTCAGTGGCTAGAATGGCTCGATTCTAGTTGAAGATGCATGAAGACAGAAGTAAAACTAATCTTTGCCGACACGGTTCGCCCTCTGATGAGCTTTATCAAAGTAATATCAGTGGACGAAACGCGTCGGCAAAGATAAATCAAAAAGCCTCCCATTTTATCTCTATCTCTCTCTCTCTCTCTATATATATATATATATATATATATATATATATATATATATATATATATATATATATATATATGTGTGTGTGTGTGTGTGTGTGTGTGCGTGTGTGTGTACTTCATTTTAGGATATTACATCGAACAACGTGAAAATCGCTACACAATTGCACTCGGACTTCGGTGCGTATCCATGCATCTCATCAGGCAATTGTAAATTACTGGCGAGTGGGCGATTTATCCAAATTTAAAAGTAAAATACAATCTCTTTTTACGAAAAAAAACGACAAAAAGAAAAAAGTGGGTGGTTTTAAAGTTTGTGGGCTTTGCTCAGATAAATCAATCGAATATGACCTACACTAAATTTAAACTAAAGGAAGAAGCAAACATTAAGAAATTATTTTTCATAAATGGGTCATGACTCGTAGATTTTGAATCAATGAGAGCACAGACATTAAACAGGAGCGGATGTAAATGGATACATATTATACACACTTGACAATGTCATTTCTTAAGAAAAAAATGAAGTGCTAATTTAACAAAATACTAGATAAGTTATATGCTGTGTTAGTTTCTCAGATGAAAAAAAAAATTCTAGTTGTTAAATAAATAGATTCTTTACTAAACCAGTAAATAATTTAAACGTATAGACGTCCCTTTTTTTTTCTTTCTTTTCGTAAAAAGAGTTCGTATTTTGCTTTCAAATCTAAATAAATCATTCACTCGCCAGTAATTTACAATCGCCTGCTGAGATTCGTTAATACGCACGACTGCAATTGTGTAGCGAATTTGACATGTTTTTCGATGCGATATACTAAAATAAAGAATATTGCTCTACTTTGTATTGAACCTTCTTTTAAATTAAATGTTACGAACGTTGGAATTGTACGCTATTTGTTCTCAGTTTACCTGGATATATATATATGTATGGAAATTCACGCACATATCGACCAACATATCAGAAATATACAAAATAATATAAATACATGTAAAATTTTACTAGAAAACATCAAAATTTTTATAGAATATGATGCAAAGGAAGACTCAAAGACTGATGGCCATTGTAATACAACAGATCTAGCCTACATTGAATAACATATATCCATGGGATCGTATATTGCATTGTACGTATTTGGCGAGTAAAGAATTTTAACAATGGTAACCAGATTGTTAAATTTAATTTTTTTTCTAATTGATGTTTTCTTACTGTTGATAAACTGCCAAATTTCATAAATTTTCTGCTTTTGTTCGTGTATTTCCACCGATGTTGTCAATATGGTAGACAAGATTTTGTGTGTTACGCCCAGTGGAGGATTTATCTATAGTCTTAGCAGGCTGAAGCCTAAGGCCTTAAAATCTAGGGGGCCTCCAGTCAAGGATTATATTATCTTTGACAGTCAATCGAATGGTCGAAAGAGAATGGTTAGACATCGAAAAGTAGCTCAACATGCACTTTACAACGTAGATGTACATAGGAGCATCTATGAGCAAGCAACATGCCGAGACTTGAAGCAGATAGGCTACAGCAGAGGAAGAGCACACTGGGGGTCCCTCCTCTCAGAGATGAGCGAGAAACCGGGCGTACAATTTGCTAAAAAACTGGAAAATTGAAGATCACTCATCGGAATTTCGGTCTTTTGGCCGGAATTGGACTTATATCACGAATAAGAGTTAAAGTTTGGTTTTGAAATTCCAGGGAGTGCATTGAGGAATTCAAATTTATTTCTTTAAAAAAATTATCATTGCTGTATTCGAAGCTGGACCTTAGCTTTAGACCGGAGACCCAAATAACTCTCTGCAGGAGCCACCTTAAAAGTTCGCACTCAGTGTGTATTTTAAGCTAGTCCATATATATATATATATATATATATATATATATATATATATATATATATATATATACCGAATGCCATAATTTTAAGAATGCTATTAACATTTTCGAAGCAAACTAAATTATTTCCTTTCTATTTTTTCATTCTTAGAATTTATTTCGGAAACGATATCATGGCTATTGTATTTCTAAATATATTTTTTAATTTAAAACACAATATTACTTTATATATTTATTGGTCACGCAGCCTGTTCTTTCTTTCTTTAATACCGATAAAGGATTATATAGGATAATACCGTGGTTCCCAACGCGCGGCGCACCCCCAAGGGGGCAATTTGGATTTTAAGGAAGGGGGCATTTCCAGAACGAGTCATTAACAGTTAATTCTATTCTAGTGAGTTGTGTGAGCATGAGTATGTTTTGAGTTGATATATAAGGTGCATCTACTGTAGGTATGCATATAAAATATTTGTCTGTATGTACATGTGTAATTACGCATGTTTTCGTATATATATATATATATATATATATATATATATATATATATATATATTGAAATGGACCGACAATTATTTTAAGTCATTTTTATGTTTATACATTCTTTTTATAGATACAAATATTTAATTAAATGATTTGTTTATAATAAACAGTATTAAGCAACATTTACCGGCTTGAATGTCCGAGACATTTTCACAGAAAATATTTGTCCTCCGACAAGATTCGAACCTGTATCCTATACAGAACCGTCATTTAGCTTGACGTGCCTTTACCGATTTGGCCACAGAGGAGCGTTCGGTTTGCAAGGTGGGTAAATGTTGTTTAATGCTGTTTATTATAAACAGACGATTTACTTAAATATTTGTATCTATAAAAAGAATGTATAAACATAAAAATATCTTAATATATATATATATATATATACATATATATATTTGTACCTCCAATAAATCGCTTAATGAAAAAAACACCAAACTTGATAAATACAAAGTTTTTATCATCAAAATGTTGATGTTATTAAGAGGAATGGCCAAAATATTTTATTATGTTCTTAATTTTTTTAATCATTTTAGCACGTCTGAATATTTGGTTAAATTATTTATTTTAATAATTTCTTAGTAATTTTCTCCTCAATAATTCAGCTCTCCTTTCCTTCTTTTATCTTTCTCTTTCATGGATGCTATATCCTTAGGAAGCGTGTTTAGAACAAGATAATAACCTTTTAGTCTTTATTCGCGTGAATAGGAGCTCACATTTTGAATAATAAGAATTTTGTCACAGTTGGGGGCATCTGGATGTTGAAGATGATTTGGTGGAGTATGGCCAAAAAAGGTTGGGCACCACTTGGTTAATAGAATTAATGTTATTGTTTCTTAATTTTCATTGTACATTTTTTTACGTGCTTTCAATGATTTAAACTGCAGATTAAGTGGTAGCGTTTAGATGTAAATAATTTCATAGATAACAATCCGAGTGTTGTTCATCAATGAATCGATATGTGCTTTGAGTGTTAAATTCACCAAGCCATCCTTAATATATATGTTCACAAAATTCTACTTATATCGTTCTGGATTTAAATAGTTTCTCTGTATTTTCTAAACAATTAGAAAAGAAAGGATTTTATTGCTTTTTTTTCCAAAGTAAGGCACAATGATATAATCATTTATTCTTAGAAAATAAAAAGAAAGAATGTGAAGCAAGTGAGAGGCATGAATGTTGAAAGAAAGAAAGAAAGAAAATTATAAACAGATGAGGGACATGAATAAGAAAGAAAAAAGAACGAACGAACGAACGAAAGAAAGAAAGAAAGAAAGAATATTTGAGATAGGTGAGGGACATGAATAAGAAAGAAAGAAAGAAAGAAAGAAAGAAAGAAAGAAAATTTGAGACAGATGTGGGACACGAGTAAGAAAGAAAAAAAAAAGAAAGAAAGAAAGAAAGAAAGAAAGAACGATCGAACGAACGAACGAACGAACGATCAAAAGAAAGAAAGAAAGAATATTTGAGACAAGTGAGGGACATGAATAAGAAAGAAAGAAAGAAAGAAAGAAAGAAAGAAAATTTGAGACAGATGTGGGACACGAGTAAGAAAGAAAGAAAGAAAGAAATAAAGAAAGAAAGAAAGAAAGAAAGAACGATCGAACGAACGAACGAACGAACGAACGATCAAAAGAAAGAAAGAAAGAATATTTGAGACAAGTGAGGGACATGAATAAGAAAGAAAGAAAGAAAGAAAGAAAGAAAGAAAGAAAGAAAGAAAGAAAGAAAATTTGAGACAGATGTGGGACACGAGTAAGAAAGAAAGAAAGAAAGAAAGAAAGAAAGAAAGAACGATCGAACGAACGAACGAACGAACGATCAAAAGAAAGAAAGAAAGAATATTTGAGACAAGTGAGGGACATGAATAAAAAAGAAAGAAAGAAAGAACGAACGAACGAACGAACGAACGATCAAAAGAAAGAAAGAAGGAATATTTGAGACAAGTGAGGGACATGAATAAGAAAGAAAAAAAGAACGAACGAACGAACGAAAGAAAGAAAGAAAGAAAGAAAGAAAGAATATTTGAGATAGGTGAGGGACATGAATAAGAAAGAAAGAAAGAAAGAAAGAAAGAAAGAAAGAAAGAAAATTTGAGACAGATGTGGGACACGAGTAAGAAAGAAAGAAAGAAAGAAAGAAAGAAAGAACGATCGAACGAACGAACGATCAAAAGAAAGAAAGAAAGAATATTTGAGACAAGTGAGGGACATGAATAAGAAAGAAAGAAAGAAAGAAAGAAAATTTGAGACAGATGTGGGACACGAGTAAGAAAGAAAGAAAGAAAGAAAGAAAGAAAGAAAGAACGATCGAACGAACGAACGATCAAAAGAAAGAAAGAAAGAATATTTGAGACAAGTGAGGGACATGAATAAGAAAGAAAGAAAGAAAGAAAGAAAGAAAGAAAGAAAATTTGAGACAGATGTGGGACACGAGTAAGAAAGAAAGAAAGAATGAAAGAACGATCGAACGAACGAACGATCAAAAGAAAGAAAGAAAGAATATTTGAGACAAGTGAGGGACATGAATAAGAAAGAAAGAAAGAAAGAAAGAAAATTTGAGACAGATGTGGGACACGAGTAAGAAAGAAAGAAAGAAAGAAAGAAAGAAAGAAAGAAAGAAAGAAAGAAAGAACGATCGAACGAACGAACGATCAAAAGAAAGAAAGAAAGAATATTTGAGACAAGTGAGGGACATGAATAAGAAAAGAAAAAAAAGAAAGAAAGAAAGAAAGAAAATTTGAGACAGATGTGGGACATGAGTAAGAAAGAAAGAAAGAAAGAAAGAAAGAAAGAACGAACGAACGAACGAACGATCAAAAGAAAGAAAGAAGAAATATTTGAGACAAGTGAGGGACATGAATAAGAAAGAAAGAAAGAAAGAAAGAAAGAAAGAAAGAACGAACGAACGAACGAACGAACGATCAAAAGAAAGAAAGAAGAAATATTTGAGACAAGTGAGGGACATGAATAAGAAAGAAAGAAAGAAAGAAAGAAAGAAAGAAAGAAAGAAAGAAAGAAAGAAAGAAAGAAAACTTGAGACAGGTGAAGGGCATGCATAAGAAAGAAAGAAAGAGCAAGAGAGAAAGAAAGAGCAAGAGAGAAAGAAAGAAAAGTTGAGGCAGGTGAGGGGCATGAATGTTGCAAGAAAGAAAGAAAGAAAGAAAGAAAGAAAGAAAGAAAGAAAGAAAGAAAAATGTGTGGTCGGCGAGTTGCATGAGTCTTAATAGAAAGAGAGAAAGAAAGAGGTGAGAGTCATGAATGTAAGAAAGAAAGAATGAATGAATAAATGAATGAATATGACGCAGATGAGAGACATGATTGTCAAGACAAAGAAACAAAAAAAGACAAACAAGTAATTGCATTTACACTGGAGAAAGGAGTGAATATTACAAGTAGGGAAGAGAGAATTTTGAGATCGATTAGAAAAATGAATGTTAAAGGAAAATTCTGTAGAATGCGAGGAAGGTTGAAAAACGTCACAGAGTGAACTTAGTTTTCATTTCCTTTCGTCCCAATCCACCTGAAGCCAATTTTCTTTTAACTCAAACGTAGAAATAACGAGACGTGATTAGCGTGCCTTTCTGTTCACTTCAATCACCCTGACATGTCTTCCACGATTTTTTTTCTTTTTCCAACATTCGATACTGCAACCCGAAAGTGTGCGAATGGAAAAGATTTATAGCATTTAAAATATATTCATGGGTCATTCTTAGAGTGTCAGATTCTTGTGCAGCAGCAATTCTTTCGAAGCTGTTGAAACATCAAATTTTGTTATATTTCAAAATATTCTTAGCCAATTATTCATTTATTTATAATTTGAAACTCTAAGCTCCAGAAATACAGTTCAGTCGGTGAATATTCAAATAATTATTTTTCTATGTATCGCCTCTTGTCTCGGAAAGTATCATGGCTCTCCACAATGTCCTATCTTTTGAAACTCTTACAATGTTTTTTTTTTTTTTTTTTTTTTCACCAGAGCTCTCACTCTGTACTGGTATCCAACCACGCAGGATTGTTTGTTAGATTTCTCGCTGTGTCTGTCTGTCTTGTTGTCAGTGTACCTTGGGAGTGCCAAAGCCTCCATTCTCTCTTTTATCATTATGCATCCCAGTGATTGGATGTTGAAAGAAAGAAAGAAAGACAGAAAGACTTATTCTAAGTATCAGGTCATCCCATAATTTCTGTCCGAATTTTGAATAAAGAAAACAAGTGACCAAATGTTATTTAATTACAAATTCAATCAACAATGTATTTTCCCTGATTATCTATGAACTTCCTTCCATCTATTAACAAGATTACTAATTCCATTACTGTAAAATTCTTTTGGCTTTGATTCGAAGAACTCACAAATGTCAGTTTTAACCTCTTCCTGTGTTACAAAAGCTGTTTCTTCCAAATGATTTTGTAAGCTACGAAACAAATGGTAGTCTGAAGGAGCAAGATTGGGAGAATAAGGTGGATGAGGAATTTTCTCCCAACCAAGTTCTTCGATCTTTTGTGACGTGATTCTTGCTGTGTGGGGTCGCGCATTGCCCTGATGAAATATCACCCCTTTTCGATTCACTAGAGCAGGCCTTTTTTCCTCAAAGCTTGGTTCAAACGCTCTAATTGCTGACAGTATATTTGAGCATTAATTGTTGCATTAGGTGGTAAGAATTCAAAGTGGATTATTCCTTGGCGATCCCACCAGATTGAAAGAAGAACATTTTGCCCATGAAGTTCCTTTCTCGGCTGTGGCTGGGGTCCTTCCCCTTTACCAAGCCACTGTCTATGACGCTTAACATTTCGATAAAAGATCCATTTTTCGTCGCCAGTCACAAGTCTATCCAAAAAAGGAGAAACAAGTTGGCGAGAATGGAGAGAAGAGCAGATGTCAACTCGGGATTTGAGGTTGTTTTCAGACAATTCATGAGGCACCCATTTTCCAAGTTTAGGAACTTTTCCAAGTTGTTGAAGATGACGATGAACAGTTGTATGGTTTGAACTGAGAACCACTGCCAATTCCTCAACTGATAAAGCAGGATTTTCTTCAAGGGCTGCTCCAAGAAGCTTTTCATCAAACTCAACTGGACGTCCCGTTCGATCTTCATCTTCAAAGGTGAAATCTCCACCTCTGAATTTTGCAAACCATCTTCTGCAAGTTCTTTCATTCACACATTACTCTCCATGAACTGAGTAAATGTTTCTAGCCGCTTCGGCTGCTGAGTTTCCTTTCTTGAACTCATAAAGCATTATGCGCTTCAAATGATTCTTGGGTACTTCCATGTTAGCAGGGTTTTAATCAAACAAAATTTAATTTTATTGTTCTCTGAAATAAAATTTGATCAGTTTAAATGCATCTAAACATAAAAATAATGTTCAGCTCCATTAGACATTATAAAATACTCTTTAAAATGCGTTCATTTTAAAAAAAGTTAAAATTCGGACAGAACTTATAAATGACCTGATATAAATGTGTTTTTATTTCAATTTTCGTTAAAAGCTACATGTTACTCCAATGTTGGGTCAATGATATTCCCAGTATCCTTCTACATAATCACACTTCTGTTGCCTTAAATATCTTCTTCAACTGCGAGGAGATTCTCTAGCATTCACTGCCATATAAGAGGGCCGATATTATATAACAGCCCAGAACTGTTTTCTTTCTTTCTGTTTGTCACATATCTCTTCATCTTAGAGAATAATGTCCAGAATTCACTGCCATAGAGGATCACCGATATTGCATAACAGTCCAGTACTCTTTTCTTTGTTTCTGTTTCTCTCAAATCTCTTCTTCATCTGATTGTCCAGCATTCAGTGCTATAGAGAAAAACCGATGTTATATAACAGTCCAGTGCTGTTTTCTTTGTTTTTGTTGCTTCACATCTCTTCATCTGTGAAGAGAATGTTCAGCATTCACTGCCATATAGGAGGACTGATATTACATGGCAGTCCAGAAAACTTTTTATTGTTTCTCTTGCCTCAAACCTCTTCATTCGTGAGGAGATTGGCCAGCATTCACTGCCATATATGAGGACAGATATTATATAATAGTTCAATAATCTTTGATGCTGTTGCCGACAATCGCTTCTTCATATGTGAGGAGATTCTCCAACATTCACTGCCATGTAGGAGTTCCGATATTATATAATACCCCAGTACTGTTTTCTTTCTTTCTGCTTGTCACAAATCTCTTCATCTTTGAGGAGAATGTCCAGTATTCACTGCCATAGAAGATCACCGATATTGCATAACTGTCCAGTAATCTTTTCTTTGTTTCTGTTTGCCTCAAATTTCTTCTTCGTCTGTGAGGAGATTGTTCAGCATTCACTGCCATATAGGAGGGCCGATACAGTTCGGTACTATTTTCTTTGTTTCTGTCGCCTCACATATCTTCATTTGGGAAGAGAATGTTCAGCATTTTTCATAAATAGATTTAAGTGATGCTTACCTACAAATCCCAGTCGATGAGAAAAGCTCAAAATTACTGTGCATAAACACACACAAAGGATTATACAGATACCAAAGATTACCATTTGGGATTAAGGTCGCGCCGGCTATATTCCAACAGACAATGGATACTATGCTCGCGGGACTAGAGTACACGATTGCATACCTGGATGACGTATTGATAAATAGCGAAAGTGTTTAATAACACTGGAATCACGAGAATACAAAGCTATGGGTTTAATGTAAAAGAAAACAAGTGCGATATTTTTATGAAGGAAATAAAATACCTGGGCCATATCATCGATCAAGAAGGAAGACGGCCAGACCCTGAAAGGGCAACGGCAATAAAAAAGAAATGCCAGTTCCAAAAAACATAGCAGAATTACAGTTTTCTGGGCTTAGTGAATTATTACCAGGAATTCCTTCCTCACTACTGAACGAACTGCTGAAAAAAGAAAAAGTTTCGGAGTGGACAGATGAATGCCAGAAAATGTTTGACAAAATAATTAAGACGTTAACTTCGGATTTATTTTTGGCACACTACGACCCAAAATTAGAAATAATAGTAGCAAGAGACGCGAGCGCCTATGGAGTCGGGGCGTGTATACTGCATAAAATGCCGGATGGGACAATAAAACCCATCACGCATGCTTCAAGAACCCTACTACCTGAAGAGAAAAATTACTCACAAATAGAGAAAGAAGCCCTGGGAATTATTTTCGCAGTCACAAGATTTCATAGATATATCTATGGTAGATTTTTTACTCTACACACGGATCACAAACCGTTATTAACAATATTCGGTTCGAAGAAAGATCTACCAGTTTACACTGCAAATAGTTTTCTCAGATGGGTACAGTTCTAGTGAATTACAATTTCAGATTGGGGTATCTAGCAACGAAAAAAATCGGGTAAGCGGGTGGTCTGTCGAGACTTATACCAACGAAAACAGAGCCATTGGAAGACTCTGTAATCACAGCCTTACGACATGAAGAAGATATCAGGGCAGTACTATGTTGTACAGTTCGAAACCTCCCCGTCAGACTACAAAAGATAAAAAATGAAGCAATAATTCATAAAAGAAACAAAAGTAAAAATAGCAGAAAAAAAATGATCAAATATCGAACAGCTTTTTTTTATGCGATAATGTGCTACTTTATAACGAAACATTACAAAAGCGAATCCTAAAGGATTTCCACATGGGCCATCCAGCGAAAATAGAATGAAATAGCGAAGCTATGTATATTGGCAAAACATGGACCAGGACATTACACAGATGGTGGAAAAATGCAAGGGTTGTTCCTTAGCAGCCAAAGCACCACCAATCATCCATAAGCCATGGCCAGTGACAGATCGTCCGTGGTCAAGAATACACGCAGATTATGCAGGTCCAATAGATGGTTTTTACTATTTGATCATAGTGGATAGTTATAGTAAAATGCCGGAAGTGTTTCGTTGCAAAAATCCTACTTCCGAAACTACCATAAGTTGCCTCCACGAACTGTTTGCTCGGTTTGGAGTAGTGGATTGTCTAGTCACAGATAATGGAATGCAATTCACATCAGCGGACTTCCAAGAAATTTTTCAAATCAAACGCCGTGATACCCAAGATCGAATGGGCAAGCGGAGAGATTTGTTGATACACTCAAAAGAGCGTTAAGAAAAGCATATGATGTACCTACGGAAAAAGCATTACAACAATTTTTACAGGTATATCGAATAACGCCAAATAATGCTACGCCATCGGCATTATCACCCGCAGAAGCGATGTTCACCAGAAAAATCAGATCAGTGTTTGATAAATTGCTACCAGAACAAACGAAGCAAATAACACAGTCGTGCGTACTAAAAAAGAAAATTCCACCCAGGAGAAAAAGGTTTTTTTAAAGCATATAAAAACAATACATCTTACTGGGAACAAGGTACAATTGAA